ACACCCTTGTTTCTTACAAGCAGGGGATTGGTTCCAACTTCCAAGTGATAACCTGATTTAATTTTAAGTAATGTGTCTGCGTGTTTTTTCAAAAAAAAAAAAACCAGAGAAAATATTCGTTTCTAACAAAATATACAAACAATCATTTTCCTGGAAACAAACGACGACGACGACGACAAACAAAACAGACAAAATTCAGAGACCATTTTCCTGGAAACGAACAACCATCAACTCGTTTCTTTCTCCAGCTGAGAAAATAAATAAATAAACAACGACGGCGACAATTATGATAAAAATCCGCCATTTATTCAACAGAAGACTGGTCAATTGAGGGTCATATTCAATCAGACACTATATAGAACAGATATTTTTTAACCATGTTTCATGAAATATCATCTTCTTTTGCCCTCAATTACTCCATCTAATCCAGTATCTAACATCTAATAATTTAATTTAACATTTAACATGCACTGAATCATGTATGAGAAGCTATTTAAATCTTTTACCAGGAAAGGTTGCGCTACAAAGTAATTGTCATTAATCACGGTAGGTTAACTATTTTCTCTCCGCAGAAGTCCTGGTGTAATCAAAATTAGGGGGCTAATAAGTTGCTTTTAGGGAAAATCACATAGGGGTCCCGCAGATGAATTTTTATTATCAAAAAATCCAATGAAATGCAAAACTAATTATGGGGTCCCATAGGCTTTAATTGCATTGCAAATAATTGGGGGTGCATTTTTAAAAATAAAAAATCTTGGAAAAACACACAAAAAAATGGAGGATTGCAAATAAATTGAAAGACTGAACTGAAGCAAGAGCTCTAGTGGTCTTTCACAGATCTCCTGCTTTGCTCTTATGTGCTTTCATAGTATTACTCAGTCCAAGGTTCACGAGAGGGTGGTTTCCATGCTAGAGCCATTTTGTGGTGCCTGATTTACCCCGCAGAATCGAACCCACCAAGGCCCAACTACCCGAACCAACGATCCCAAATCAAGGACCTCTGGCTCTAGATCATTTCAAAAAAGCTAAACTCTCAGCGCAGGGGATCCTGATGAATAGGTACAAGGAGTTGGAGGAACTGTATGTGAAAGGTTACAAGAAAGTGGTGGAAAAGTTTTGATGTATGTACCCACTTTCTCTATTTGCTAGATTAATTATTAATCTCCAATAGATCTGGGATAAGTGATCATAGAGTCCATAAATGAGGACTCTGACTAGTTGAAATTTCTTAATTCCCATGAGCCTTGTTCCATTATTTATGTTTGCAAATCAACGAAGAATTCGTCTCCGGCGCCGTCGCTAGAACAAGGACTTGATGTGGTCAGCAATGTTAGTGTCCATCACCAGGTTGGAAACACACGATGGGAAGAGTTTAAAAAAAAAAAGAAAAAAAAAAGAAATAGGGGGAGTTTGGTAAATGCAACCCATAACTTATTTATAATCAAGTCCATGAGATCTCAAAGTTATTATTACATTTCATGGGACTTTTTGGTAATTAGAATTAATCTATAGGACCTCTATGTAATTTTCCCTTGTTTTTATCAAACATTTTGACTTATTATTTATTTTTCATTTTTTATCAAAAGACGTGAAAAATTAAAGTTTAAATTTTTATTAGAAAAGGTGTTTATATTTGGGGTAAAAGGTGTAAATCTGCTCCAAAAGTATTGTACGAGGGTCATCAATATCTTAAAATAATGGAGAGTGCTTGCAATTTTACCCCCAATCTTCCAAAAGAAAAGTAATTTTGCTTGATTTTGACAAACTCAAATGATTGATTGTTGACTGACCTAACTATGCTTATGTGGCATTTATCTCAATTTTTTTTTGTTTTGCTTTGGTGGCAATGCCTATGTGGCATCCAACTTAGAAGCTCTTGCAAAAGCTCGAGAAGAACATTAAGCAAAAAGAATATTAACAATATCATTGGTTGGAAGTAATAATAGATTCAAGCCCAAATCAAAAGGTTTAATCCACCAATTTACATACATAAGCTCACCTGAAAATAGATTTAGAGTCCAAAACCACACTTTTTGATCCCTTCAAATGCTTCAATCCCTCTCCCAATTGGGTCAAATCCTGGAGAATCACTCTAACGATGTGAGCTTTATTGTGTATTAGGATAAGAGTTTCATGAAGACTATTCTAAAGGAAGAATACACATATTTTTGATGAATGATTTTGGTGATGGCCATTCCTGACATCAAATATAAAATACCCAAGAGGTCATTTCTTCTACCATCTATCATTTCCAAATCTAGTGCCTTCGGTAATTTCTCTTCCCACATCCTTCTTGCTTGGAGCTTTTTTTTTCTACCATCCTTGTCGATCCTGTTATTCTACTCACTTTCTTCTTGCTCTAGCTCTACCTCACCTCTAACTATCAAATATGTCAAGAAAACCCTCAAGCTAGCAAAACCCCTATCATTTCAAGGGAAATCTAGGAGGTCGCGCACCTTCTTGCACCCAATCAACACCTAGTCCCTGAGATCCAAGTGGATGTCAAGAAGCGAAGCTTCAGTTATGGTTGGAGCAAAAAAATAATGGTAATGACATGATAAAATCCAATGAGTGAGGTCATTAGCCTAAGAGGTGAACTAATGGAGTGAGGTGAGGTGAGGTCATTTGCTTGAGGGAGATGACGATTTGAGGTGGAGTGGAATCAGTCCCAAGAGTGATAGACAAGGGTCAACGACTCAAGGAGCTTTCTCTAGAGAATTTTTTTTATGTTAAATCTATGTTTTAACCAAAGGAAAAAATAATGTGGCAACGGGTTTGACTTTATCAAGTTAAAATAATCCATCTCATGACCAACCATTTGATTCTATCAAAATCAAGCGACATTACTCTATTTTTGAAAATTGGGGGACAATATTGCATTTTTCATTACTATAGAATACTAGGCGTCCCTATGCAACACTTCAATGGCAAATTTGTACTTTTATTCCTTATATCTAATATTCGAGATTCAACAATGCATTAAACATAATTATTTTTAAGGAAAACACTATGATAACTCTCTATAGTTTTCATGTCATTTTGGTTTTAGTCCCTAAAGTTTATTTTTGTTGTTTCTAGTTTCTAGAGTTTCATGTTGTTTTGATTTTAATCCCTGAAATTTGTTCTCATTGCTCTTAGTCTCTATAGTTTCTTGTCATTTTGGTTTTAGTTTCTAATTACATCTAAAAAATCTAGAGGTGTAATTAACACTATTAGTTATTACGTAGAGGTGTTATTCTTATGTTTAGTTGGCAATATGAGTTATTAGTCATTAAGTTTTAATTTTTCCCAACCCATAAGATAAATTACAAACATGAACAAAGGACTGCTTCGAAAACGGACGCTCAATTGCTTTGATTGGAAGACACAAGGAGAAGATACGGCCAGTGACTCGAGAGGAGATGCAGAGAGGACGGCGACACTATGACAATTGACTATTTAAGGTTTCTTAATTGTAAGTATGTGCCAACTAAGTATAAGAATAACACCTCTGCATAATAATTAATAGTGTTAATTACATCTCAGCATTTTTGACAAGATTAATGATAGAAGAGACTAAAGTTTTGGACGACAAAAATTATAAGAACTAAGAATAACGAAAACAAACTTTAGGAACTAAAATCAAAATGACACGAAACTTTAGGTATCAAGAACAATGAAAACAAATTTTAGGACTAAAATCAAAACGAGATGAAACTATAGGAACCTCTTACAGTGTTTTTCCTTATTTTTAATAGGAATACACCTTAATACAATTAAAAAATAACAACAACAAAAATCCTTGTAGGTGCGAATAAAAACGAAAGAATTTCTATGACCAAGCTACTAAAGCAAGCTTCCGAAATGATACTGATTGATTTTCGTTTTTGTTTTTGTTACGGGGGCGAAGTAGTTTTTCTAACAATTCCTAATACATATTTTATCAGACAAAACGCATGACTGTTTTATATAAACGAAGTTACCTGTGTTTCTGTAACAACAACAACAACAACAACAATCCCCTGACGGCCAGTCAAAGAAGACAATAATCCCTGTCATAGTGAATTTACTGTTTCTTTTTTCCGCCATTAAATTTACTATTTCAAGTTTCGTTTTCTTACGGTTACTCCACTTTATATATATATATATATATATATATTATGCGCGCGCGTGTGTATTACTCACCAGCGAAAGCAAAAACATAAGTGGTCATGCAAATATGCAATTATCTACACGCCTTAAAAGGATTGTTTATGTAAAGAATTAATAAATAGATTACTTGTTAAGAATCACGCGCATCCTTAGCTGTCTCTTTACATGTCCCGCATTAGGAAAAAAAAAAAAAAAGAGGCAATGCAATTGCGAGTTGCAACCTATATGTTCTTAAAGTGTAACAAAACAAGTTATAACTTATAATTAAAGCATTGTTTGAGATCTAATATTGTTGTGGAAATACTCTTTTAAATTTGAAGTTGTGGTGGAGAGTTTTGTTGCCTTTTGAATTAAAGTTCATTTCATATCCCAAGTCTTAATAATGCCTCCGTGTGACAAAATCTCGCACAGTGCGTAAAGTGATATCTTTTGCTTCTGGCAGTGGGGTGGGCTTCATTCACACATTATTTTTTCAATAATTTAAATATCATCTTCCAACTTAAAAAGAATTCTTCGTTGGACATTAATTATGAGAGGAACCAAGTAAGAAATGAATAATTTCTCCATCAAATTTAGAATTAACCTCATGTGGCAGAAGCAAAATTAGCTTAATGTCAACTGTCAAGCTATAACCTGGAAGAACTTCAAAACATTGATACTACAAGAAACGAGATGATGAGAAAAACCCATCCAATTTACAGTCTGTCCTTGCATAAAAAAATAGAGGTCTCAAATTTTGCTGATAATTTTGAATGAAGATTTATACATGTAGGCTGAGATTCTCAATATCAACGTATAAAATTGCTATATGAGAACTTGATACATGACAATCAAGGGAAAAAAGTACTCATTAGTTTTAGTGTCCACAAGCTGATACATAAGCAACTGGTGACTAGGCCCCCTTTCTGTTACTCCATGGTCTGAGGACTGAAGTAAGAACAATGACAACAACAAGAAGAAGTATTATGATAGCAATGCACATCCATTTTCTCGAACTCTTCTGTGCCTTCTTTGCCTTCACAAGTGCATTATTGCCTTGCTGTACGTGATCTACTGCAGTTGATACCTAGACACAACATTAGCGGAAGCTAAAATCAACAACAGGACAATCCCACCATAATTATTTGTTAGATACAGTATTAAATATGAACTGCTTCACTTATTTAAGGAAGTTCTCCAAATACCTGGGATTCTATGTTGTTAAGAATGTCACCCTGTGAATCAACCAACACCGCCAAATCCAGATATATCTGCAAACACAAGTTAGTTGTTATTTTCAGTCTGTTTTGATCAGCTGAGGTACAATGTTTAATCAATCAAGTAGGCTATATATACTTGCTGCAATTCAAGAAGCTTCCTCTCAACGTCTCTAGCTGCTTCGTGCCGTTCCTGAATTTCTGCCAGTGTGTCCAGTATCTGCAAAGATAATCAACATGTACGAGAGGTTTGACAGAGTGAAATTACTTCACTCTACAAGTCAACAAACCCATTGCTCAAGGAATATTAACAACATCCCTCTTATATCTCCCCACCCCAAAGGAAAAAAAATTGAAAAATGCATGTTAGAACAGCGACAAACCCGGCCTCTTCCATGTTCCCTGATTGCATTCTGGAAAATCTGTTCACTATCTCCGGTTTCAATTAATCTGTCAATTGTCTGTACATGGTTAAAAAATTAGAAGAAAATTTCTACGAGCAATTTTCTTCAAATGTATAAGAATTCAGACCTATAAATACCTCCTCATCAGCTCTTGTGCCCGTCACTGACATTCACAAAACATCATGTGTCACAATAGATATACTTTATCATGGAAAATCCAAGCCATTAAATTGCAGAATTTTAAATCAACGAGTAACAGGTGCTCGAACCTGTATAAACACGTCTCTCTACAACCTCACGATATTCTTGATGTATGATTTCCCTCAGCCGCTGCACTTTTTCAAGCAAGACTAATTTGAGATTATGATATTAAAAGGACAATATGTCACACCAAATATGAGGTCAACCTACCTGAAATTCATCCATCTTGTCCTTCAATTTCTTTTTCAAGGCACTGCAACATAGTACCAAAAAAAGTGGTCGAAAGATCATTAAGTGAAGTCCATCATTCTAAAGCCCAAAAGTCAATCCTTGACTGGACATTATAGTCCAGCAAAAGGTTCTCTTTTCATTGTGTAGAGTCTTTTTTAGCTTCAATAGATGCAAAGTTTAGAGATGCAGTTTTCTTCCCCTCCCTCTCCACACAACCCCCCCCCCAAAAAAAAAGTCATTTGGGTTGCCATAATAATCATTACTTTACTCACATGGTGGTTGCTATCCTTGACCTGTCGATACCTGTTCCTTTTCCACATCCACGCTTTTGCCTATTTTCCAAGTTCTACGACAAATAATTAAGTAAAGGAGGAGGTGAGGGAGTTCTTAATTATGTAGACGCTAGATATTGAAAATACAACTGAAAAATAAGCAGCATGCGCTCACTTCTCTGTCCAATTCTTCAATTCTTGTTTTTATGTGATGGGCAATTTTCTTAACTTCATCAACATCTTTCTCCATTCTCTGCTTAATATCTGCAGAGCATGAATGAGTCAAACATAATTGCTGAGCCCACGGCAGCTGTAAAGTCTTACATTCACTGTCATAATTTATCATACCACGTCATCAATCTTAAGATGTATCCCTATAACAAGTGCATTTTAAGATCTAGAGCAGCTCCTACCCTCACAAATCATTTTCATTTCTAAATTACAATTAAAAATATTACAACAGGAAGATTATTCATTTCTCAACGATAATCTTGTTTGACATTATTTTTTCTTTTCCTCCATAGAAAAAAATGACTAACCCTTCATGGAAGGAGCTTTGGTCACTGCCTTGGACTCCTCGTGAGCATCCTGCAAATAAAGTTTGCATTAAAATGATGAAAGAACACATTTCAAGCTCATAAAACAGATCATTGAGGTTTCTGCAAAACCAACCAGCTTTTTCATTTTCAAGGCATAAAAAAAATTTCATTTTCCAATTTATATGTGACGAAGGGGATTAAAATCTTACGGAGATACAGTAAAAAAAAAAAATTCAGGGACACTGACAAAGCAGATACTGGATTGCAATTGCAGAGACCGTGAAAGTTACCTCAACTGCAACCTCTTTTTTTTTTGGAGAGAGATCAAAATGACAGCACAAGTCATTCTGTTTCAATACATTCTTCTGATACAAGTTTTCTTAATCTTGTCATCCCTCTCCTCTTTTCTTCTTTCATTCTTAGACTTGGATATCTTTGTAAATTTTTCTCACCAATTGCAAACGAACCTTTTACTTTGTGTGATCCTTCCAAAAACTCAAGCCACATTCCAACTTCATGCATAGATTTCAATATTGATGTTGTTTAAGTTGATAAATATCAGGAACATCAAGTTTAAGTTGCCACTATCTGCCAGGTTTTATGAGGAAACCGGATAGCCCCTCCAACGTATCAACTGGAGGGAGCCTATCATCCTCAGGCGAAAAAAAAAAAAAGCCTTCATAACTCACTTATTCGTGTATCGTGTTTTATTGATGCAAACATATTGGAGATCTAAAGTTGAGAAGAATCAAATTGAATGATTCATTATGTACATCCTCCGAATGCTTGGCAGTTTACATGTTCAAAACTTGTTTGTAAAGAATTTTGGAAGCAACCGATCATTAAATACGCAAGACAACAACATCTATACCTGGAGCTGCCTGAGAAGCTTACCCAGCCTCTCAAATTGCTTATCAAGCTCTTGAACCTGGAGAATACAACACATAGCCACATTGGTACATTGAATTTGAGAGGAGCATGAAAGCAAGAAGTGCGTGGATTTGAAATCACGCACAAAATGGACAAGATGAACTCATTAAAGCAGAAAAATGGAAAGTGAGAGAATGTGATGAGATAAACCACATTTTTTTCAGGCATAAGATATTAATTAAACACCTTTTTGAAGAAAGTATCCAAACCCAGTTCTCCTGAAGTCCGTAGATATGCCCCTAACTCGACGTCTCTATTTCCATGCCCACGAGGGATTTCAAACGATTCCTGTGTGAAGATAGTAATTAAAATTAATATATTTGGCTAAACTGTAATCCTTGGTACTGGAAAATAAACACGGGAGGTTTCATCAACATTTCTATCGATCATGCCAAGAATTAAAACTCATAAACACCACCTGGTCAACATGATTCAACTACACTTCATAAAGTTTTAAGCTGTTAGGCGGAGGCCAAGTACTGTTTATGACTTCATATATTAATTACTTTAATCTTTGAAAGTTATGTATTCCTATAACCTCAATTCTCTTTGAAACATTTCGATGGGCCTCCGGAAGAATCCTATTTAAATTTCGTTTCATATATTCCTGCAGAGATTGTTGACAAATCAGACTTAAACTGAGTAAATTATAAATTCCATAAAGCATGCCCACGTAAAACTTCATTCCTCTTATGTTGATATGGACTACGGAGCAAGTATATATATAGCGTAGAGGAAGCATATACCGATGACGCTAACTACTTAGAACAGCTTATTCACATAGCAAATCATTCTGGAAAATGCTTGATTCTATTTCTGAAACTTTTAATTGATCGAACATCAACGTCCAGAGAGGGAAGTTCTCAATGCCCGTTTTTGTACGAGGAAGCATGCCTTCTAATCTTACGATCGGCTAAGGGAAAAAAACACAACCCAAACGAGAGGTCCGACGACGATCAACTGTCCAGCAGTCACAGCCCCCGAAATCTTTTGTTTCCAACATTTTCTTTTGTAAACAAACAGAAGCTAAGGCAGAAAGGTCAATACAGCTGAATTCACATCGCCCCACGTAGAAAACTAGGCCGGAATGACACCAGAACAATAAATCCAAAAAAAAAAAAAAAAAGCCAAGAAGAAGAAGAAGCATACGCAATGCATGAGAACCCGGAAAGAAAAGTTGGGAGAATAAATGATTACCGATAGAAGGTCGTTCATTGTAGAAGAGGGATGAGAAACTCAATGCCAAGGTTCTATTATTGATTTTTTGTTTTAATTCTGTTTTCTGGGAAGAAAGCTATAGGGAATGATGGGGGAGGCAAGGCGCTGGTTAACCATAAACCAGGCCTTCCAATTCCCAGAACGTGAATATCCTTGGCGTTAATTTGTTGCATGTAAGCTCGAGAGTGGAATCCCCATTACAGACGGACACATAATGGATTGGTGACACATGGCGAAGAGCACGCTCCTTTATTTGGTTTTTTTTTTTTTTAAGTTTTAACTATTGGAGTAAATCTCTCTGTCCTCTTTTTTTAACCTTGCTTTTTCTGGAGTGGTTTGCTATAAATAAGGCAAGAAACTAATTAATTAGGATTAAGTTCTTTTTCATTTAACGGCAAGCGTATGTATGAATCTAGTGAGTTTGAACTTGACCTTCTTCTGCTCTATTTGTTTTTGTTGGATTTGGATGAGGTACTTGAACTCGCGAAATCAGCTCACATTTCATTCCAGATATGATATTTGGCCTTTTCATTAAGATTAGATGATGAAAAGAGGAGCATGTTAAATTTAATTAAATCTCTATGTTTTAGCAGGTCAATGACTTTTTTTTTTTTTTAATTTCAAGCTAAAACAACGAAAATGCAATCCAACTGTTACATTACGTGGATCTGAAGTTGTTCTCTCGGAAAATGACTACTTTGGTTACTTTGTATTATTGCATGCATACTTATTAATTAAGATTGGAGAGTGACCACTCAAAAATAGAGAAAGGATAAATGGATGAAGAATGATGAAATATATTGTATCTTAGCTCAAAATCTAAAATTTAAGTTTATATGTATTTTTTTATTATATATTACTTATTAAAACTAATTTTATTTAATGTAAAATTTCTCACATCAACTCAAATTTACTTTTGGATAATTTAACTTAAATGTACAGTCTCTATTTTTGCATGCAAACTAGTTTGAGTGACTAATTTTTTGGCGGTTAAGATTTCACCCGTTTCAACAGAAAATTAAACGCCATTTAGTTTATAAGTGGAAATTAAGCCAAAAAGGGGGATAGTTATTGTTGAATGACAGGAATTGAATTTGTTGGGAATAATCATGTGTTGGGAATTTGGCAAAAAAAAAAAAATGCGCTGGGAATAAATAGCCAAAACGCTGAACAGAGTAGCAATAATTGCGTCTAATGGTTCAGTAAATTTTACAGCCCTTTACATGCACTCGTTCAGTGTCCTTTTTTTTCTTTTTTGGACGAAGCACGCGTACAGTGTCTACAAAAACCTGGTTGTGTTGTGTGTACGTACTTGCGAACGAGGCCGGAAGATATTTTAACTTAAAAATATTTCAGTTTATTTTACATGCATTTTTTTAAATCTTATTTATAAATAATTTTTAACATATTTTACTGGGATCAAGAGAAATTTTAAAATTTATTAATTTTATCTAATAATTTAATAAATTTTTAACTTTATCACTATTAAGTATATATACTTTAATAATATATTTTTTAAAAATAAAAAAATTTGCAATAAAAATTTAATAATGTAATTTATAAATAGGATAATCAAAATGTTTCTCTTTTTATCTTATAAATGGAATAAGAGGAAGGAATAAGAGGAAGTGTAACTATATAGCAGAACACCACACACACATGTACTATTTTGCGTGCACATGTGTGACAAGATTTCTGTGATGTGGTATTATTAATCACTATTCGTAAGTCCCTAAATAGGTTTGGATTGTTGGGATTGGTACGTTGGTATCATTTTCAACTTTTAGTATATAATGCATATTTATAAAAAAAATAGATTCACACTTTTTATTAGCAGGGATTACTATTAATTTTAAAATAAAAATCTACATTATTTTTAAACAAACATTTTCAAATTTGTGTTTTAGTTTAAATTGTCTATTAACTTAATAAATATATAGAAAATAGAACAAGCACACAATAAATATTGAAGTCTGTAAAAACAAAATGGACTGCAGAAAAGTAGTTTTGCCTTCATGGGCAGATAATCCAAGTTTCAGCCTCAGACAACTTACATTGTTTTTCATTTCCTTCTTCCTCCTAGTTTAATGGCCTTGCTGACAGTTAGTGACAGTGTATCAATGATAAGTGAACAGAAAGCGAAAGAGAGTGATGGTCAATCAGACTCAGAAGCTCGCCATGTCATACGGCCTCCACGCAGCATCAGGTCACCATGTCCTTCAAAATAAGCATACTCAGTGGACGCTGGATTGGGATTCCCATCACTGCTAGCTTGCGTCTGAAATATCAAAATTGAAGTCTCCGCCGCAGAATTCAAATCCGCCAACGTATCGCCGAGCGGTCCCAACGCCGGCTCTTCCATCACAGGGTCAAGCGTTTGTGCCAGCGACATCCTCCTCCCTTGCCCTCTCCCCGCTATGCACAAATCATACCCATTATCGCCCACACTGTTCAGCAACGCCAACGTTTCCTTCTCGTCTCTCACCACTTTCTCTAGATACTTCACCGATCCCCCCATGTCCCTTGTTTGGAATTTGAAAAATCTGATGTACTCTTCATCTGTTTGATCAAATTCGTCACTGGGGTTGTCCCAAATAATCCTCACCACTGTTAATTTTGTGTTTGGGTGCCTGCACATCCTCCATGCGTACGACAATGCTTCACGGTCATCCGCTCCACCAACGTAGAACATTGCCAGTTTTCGCTCTTTGCCTCGCTTTTGACCGAGCCCTCGATCTATGAATATTCCCAAACAGCATGGTGGTTCCTTCACTAGATTCTCGAGCACCACTTTTTTCTCGTCCTTGCTTGAAGATTCTCTGTTCACAATGTTTGCTGCTCTGGCTGTGGCTGTGCCTGCACCTAGACCATCGTATGTTGGTTGTTTGTACAGTGTGGTTAGTATGAGTGTCACTCCTCTTTGCTTCGCTAAATGGAGGATGTCTTTGTGCATGGTGTTGTAAGAAGACACGACCCTTAACTTCTCAGCGAATATAGCTTGGCTAAGGTTTTCGAAGCACTCAAGGTTATCCCCCGTCTGTGTGTTGTTGCTGTCTAGAGTGAGACCTCGCAAGAGATCTTTTTTGGATTTGGATTCCGTTACTTGCTTAGAAGCATCATCTAGGATTAGTGCTGTAGTGGGGCGGTTTGTTATCTTCACAAGCTCTACAGCGAAAACCTGGATAGGGGATTTAACATTTGGGTTCGAAGCCTTCAACAGACTGAGAATGACATTGGCGTCGTGTGATGTGTGGACACATGCCAGCACTCTGAGCGGGATGTCCGGTCTTGCCCCTTGCATGGTCCTACGCAGGCTACTTCCAATATCCGAATTCGTGAATTTGCTTATGGCGGCCAAGACAGGCCCCACTGGAATCGTCATTATCCAGCATATCAGTATCATTACCCCAAATGTTTGGTCATTCAGAGCCTGCATCATATTACACATACACCCCTCTTTGAATGTGAAGCTTGGGACAGACAGGATAGCTCCCGTGTTGGAACAAATTAATTTGATTTGACTATGATAGGTTGTTAGATTGGCTTACCAGCATGTCCCTGCCGGTGGTAAGGATGATGATTGAGACTATTCCTTTGGTATTCATGAGTAGTCCTATAGAGAAGCCTTCCTTGAGAGGCAACCTGTAGAGCATATAGACAGCGAGAGTGGACAAAATCTTGGCCATGAAAGCCAACAAAACAACCACCACAACGCTTGTCCAATGAATTTCCAAGGCAAAGTCTTCAACATGAATTCTCTCCGCAAGAACCGCAAAGAAGACTGGCATCATGAATGCTGTCACAAAATCAAGCACTTTCTCCTGAACGGCCTTTGAGATGATACCCTTTGGGGTTATAGTTCCCAAAATGTAGGGCCCTGTGATTGAATGAGCTCCCAATCCATCGGCGACAAATCCAAAGAGCAAAACCATATGCAGGAGACACACGACTTGAGCGTCGATCAAATCTCTGTCCTTTGTGCTAACCTTCTGGAAAAGCCACTTGGCAAGAGGATGAACCACATAGACGCTTATCAACAGAAAGACGAAGGTAGAGACGATGGATGCTCCTGAAGCTGCATGGAGTGCTGATATGGATATTACAAGGAAGATCCAAGAGAAGACGTCATTAATGAGAGCAGAGGTTAAAGCCAACTGTCCATTCTCGTTGAGAACGAGCTTGAGGCTCGTGAGAATCCTCGCAATCTCAGGGAACTCGCTGCATGAAAGGGTGATTCCCCATATCATGGCACCAATGAAATGTCTCGTTCCAGTTACCGGGGGAGGCATGTGTTTGCGTCCCAAGTCGGAGAGAAGTAGGTAGTACAATCCAATCCCATAGGGAATAGAGAAGATTACACCAACAATGGCGACTATTATGGCCTTTTGTTCCCGGAACGCCTTATTGGCCTCAAATCAAACTCCAAGCCGATCAAGAACATGTAATAAACAAGGGTCATAGCTGCCACGGTTTCCAAGGCCATCAGACTACTGAAAGTGAATACGTGATTGACATAAAAAGTAGATCGCCCCAGAACAGCTGGACTTGTCAAGAAACCAGCCTTCAACCCCAAAGGCAATATCAGAATGTCAAGAATGAAACATCAAGATGAAGAATTCAAATTTAGAAAAGGGCTAAGAAGTACTTACAAAAACATCAGTGACAATACGAGGTAAGTGCCATGGGGCTGAGGCAAGGATGCAGAGGCGATTAAATGATAGAATTACAGCGAGTTGCAGGGCAAACAGAGGCATGGTGACTTGTAAGGAATTTTCCAGCCAATAGCCAGACCCATAGGAGACCTGCTTATCGAAACAGACCTCCAATGTGCCGTTTGGTCTGGGCACTAGACTATATTCTTTGAAGACCGGAGAACTCATTCTTCTTCTTTGTTAGCCCCCTACAGATTCTGCCTAGAACAGGGTGGGAATCATAAGGAAAAGGAAGGTAAGGAAGAAGAGGATTTTACGAGATGTTTAACAAACAATTAAGGTAACAAGCTTTAGACTAATAAAAGGAAACAGAGAGGCAGGCGGGGGAAATTCCAGTAAAATGTATTGGTGTCTTTCTGGGACGGTTGCTTGCTTATTAATTATAGGCAGTTTGGCAATGTTTAGCTGTTCTTATTCTATTTACAGGCAAGTGTGCAAAATGTGTTAATTCCTCTGTATCGTACTTCGTGCCCAGATCCAGATGTTCAGGGGGAAAAAAATCTCAATTCATTGGTTAGCGTATACAGGTATTATAACACAGATCATTCTAACAAAATGAAAAATTTCATCTCCTGCAAGTTTGTGATGGTGGAGGCTGTGCGGTGATGATTGTAAGAAACCAGGTTGAAGTTTCAATTACAATTTGAGCTTCTATATTTAAGAAGCTCTAAGATCACAATTGTATAACTTATTAATTATAGAATGTCTTTAGGTTTTTTTTTAACTTAAAAAAAAAAACTAATGATGCCATTTGGCAACCAATTTAAAAATAACAAATAACATGCATACTCTTTGAAACATAATAATAGAAAACACAGACATAAAATATTATTCGAGATTGAACATGGGTCTATTGGACGTTGGTCGTATGCTGCAAGACCCAACAGCTCCGAAATTGGCAAACATGACATTTCACGTCTTTTGCATCTTTCACACCAGTTTTAAGAGCTGAAAACACCTATAGGTGAAGACAGGAGACCACTAGAACCTCCCGTAATTTTTTAATTTTTTTAATAAAATATAATTATTATATATTTTCGGCCCTCTTAAGTTGGCATGTTATAAAAGATTTGAAATACTAGATAGAATTCTCATTTTAATTTTATATATGATCTTTGATGCATGTATAGTTCAATTGTTTCAATAGTTTGAAGATATAATTGTCAGAGAATTTACTTATTTTCAATAAGATAATACTACAATTGTTTTTAAAAACATTGATATCATTTAATTTTGTTTTCATTTTATATTTGATGAAAGAAATTTTAAGAATTATTACTAATAAATTTTGTTAAGCATTCCAACAAAAACCTTAAGGTATATTGAATGTTATATGTTTGATGTCTATTATAAAATCACTTATCTAAAAGTTAAAAAATTATGATTAAAATATATTCTTCTAAAAAATAAATTACTTTTTTATGTAATAACCAAGCTATCATCATAATTTGGAAGCAAGCACTAATTCGTTGTGTACATCCTCATAAAACAAATTCTTGAGTGCATCCAAATGACGTGACTGCAAACAAATAGGGTTGTTCACGGGACGGAATGGGATCGGGATACCTTCGTCCCGTGTCCCATCCCAAAAAAAAGATCGAGACTGAATTTTGGTCCCGTGTCCCATCCTGTTAAGAGTCAGAATGGGACCGGGACAAGATCGGGACACCCCGCTGTTTCGATAAATGAAATAATATTAAAAAATATAGATAATAACGTTCATTAAAATTTTAAATTATATAATTTATTAAGTTTAAAATTAAAACAACACAAGCATATAAATAACAATAATTTAAAATCAATTATTGAATTATATTAATTACAACTACATATTATAATAACAAATACAAGTGATCTTTATACTATAAGATTAGTAACAACAGGTAAGTCAAACACAACATTAAATTATTATTCTTCTACTTTAATGAAGATATATTAAACTGATTACTCTTCTAAAATAAGCAAGAAATATGTTATAAATAAAAATTATTAAATAGATAGATATAAAAATAAATTATATTAACATAATTAATATATTATGAAGAAAGATATCACCATATTTACTCCATGCCATTAAAATTATCAATATAAAAAATTTAGTTTTAAATAAGAATTACAAATATTAAAATTATAATTGATATAATTACTATAAGTATAAATTATATTATATAATTAATATATTTAAAATAAAAAATAATATATATAATATTCGGGATGGGACGGGACGTCCAGATGGTAATTCCGTGTCCCGTCCCGTCCCAAACCCCCTTCCTGTGCCGTCCCGTAAAATCTCATCCCGATTATTTTCGGGCCTGGATAAAACCCATCCCGATATAATCGGAATTATAACGGACCAATCAAAATGAGTCTAGACTGAACACCTCTACGAACAAATTGCCAGAACAAAGCCATCACCATTTGCTGTCTCCACTTCCAGATGCGCTTTAGTCAGTTTCAGGATCTTCTTATTTATGATCATGAAACGGCACTTTGTTGCCTCAAATCCCTAATTTATTTCGTCCTGGGTTCAAAAAATCGAAATGGATTCTCGAAATGCATACTAGGTTGAGTTCAATGGAACATGATGACTAATAATTAATTAACAAGACGCCAAAAGTCAAATTTGCTAGAAATAGGAAATATAACGATAATGATCTGAAGCTAATTGTGTCAAGCCTACAACTTTCAACACCAACAGTACTCTCATCACATCTATTCAAAGCAGGACTATGGCCATTTTGAGAGGGGCTATAAGCCGCACTTGCGACTGATGGAGCTTTGGACATTTTAATTTGGCTCACAGCCATCACAATTTGGAAGTAGTACGAAACATGTCCCCTGTTTCCTCGTAGAACAACTTCTTGAAAGCTACCATATGTGACACTTGCAAACATAAGGCTACCATGAAGCCATCACTTGCAAACATAAGGCTACCATGAAGCCATCGCCATCTCAAGAAAGCTTTCCCCTCCCTATGAATATTTCCTGGTCCCATATAGACTGGCTTTCCCCACCCAAAATCAGCATCTTGAAATGGAAAATTCATCCAACTAACAATATCTAGATTTGGGTTTCCCTTGGGTTTTCCAGGACAGGTGTTCCTCAGCAGCCTCGCATCCTTCTGACCTGCTATATCATCAAGAGCTGATCTTGCGTAATCATCTGTCACCTTCTCTAATGCTCGTCTTATTTCCCCAACGGCATAACTCACAGGCTTGCTCATGACATCATCAAACGTGCTCGTTTTAGTCACAGTGGGTATCGCTGCGTTTCCAAAGTAAGAATTATGAAGAGGTGGCCTTAACCGATTTCGACAGTTAACCCTAGTGGACAACCTCGTTGGTTGGTCGCCATTTCCCCCATACCGCGCCTTGCAGGCACATCTCCACAACACCCCAGAGATTACCTCAAAACTCGTATAAGGCCGCCTGGGAGCATCAAAATTACTGGCCTTTTCTTTCAGTTGTTGAACTTGATTTTTTGTGAGCTTCAGAATAACAGCAGCAGCTTCATCCTCTGCATCTACCAAGCTACCTAGCCAAAGTGGTGGTGGAGAAAACTCGGGATGATCAAAACGCGGCGCCGCACATGACTCTGCTCGCGAATCTAAAATACTTGAATCACGATGTAGCATTTCAGTCGAGCTTAAATCTAAACCCTCTCCTCTAGTTATCCTAGCCCACGAGTTCACAAAATGAACGATACATGCCCCATCAACCACAGCACGCGACACGGAGACCCCAAGAGTAAGACCACCACATCGGAATTTGGTGAGCTGAACCGCCAAGAGAGGAATCTCCTCCACAGGAAGATTATAATCAATCTCGGGCACGAGCTGTTCAACATCTTGGCTGGGCTTGAAGTCACCGAACTCATCCAACTTGGCCAGCGAAACGGCTTCTAAAAGCTGAGCACCCCTGCCACTGCAGTGGAGTTGAAAGCGACCGCCTACATTTTCGCGTAAGTGACCGGCGAGGGGATAGAAGTGAACCAGGGATTGGCTTAAAGATTTGGTGAGAATGTGAATGGAAAACGGGAGGAAGGGTTGATCATTGACAAGGGGCCTGTAAACAAAAAGGAGAGGGATGTGGATGGAGGGCTTGGACTGGTCAAAATCGGAGAGCGGAAATATTCCGGTGGGTGTGGGTTCGGAAGGGATCACCATGCGAGAAGACATCACAGACACCATTGTGTTTAGTGTTTACGGTCCCAGGACTAGCCCTTGGCTCCTTCTTGATGGCTGGTCAGCTGGTGTTCGTGACAGTCGATGAAGGAATAAAATTACCCAATGGGTAAGCAATAAAGATCACGTGTCAGTTTTTTTGTGTTTTGCTTCAAGTTGATACTTTTCTTTTGCAAACTCTACACAGGAAAACTTGACTTCTCTCCGTATTCTCCACTGTTCATTTTCTCTTTACCTTTCATTTCAATCGTTAAATTTATTTTTAAATATTTAAGATTTAATATTTTATAAAATTATTATTATATTAATTTTTTTATAAAATTTTATATTTTAATAATAATTTTATAAAACATCAAATCTCAATCATTCAAAAATAAATTCAATAGTTGAGATTGAAAATGAAAAAAAAAAAGGGAGAGAAACTGGTTTAATTTCAACATAGAGGTAATGAATGAAGAAGGCGGCCATAGAGGTGGTGAGGCACGTGAAATGTAAGTGCAGCAAGGTGGCTGCCCTCCATTGTGAGCAGAGGCTGAAATGGAAAGGGCGTATGTTTTGTCTCTTGTTTTATCTACCGAAAATTTCTGCAACAACTAAACTTCCTATCATTATAATATTAATTATGGGATTTGATTTTCTGGTGTTCGTGACAGCTTGAAGGCCACGCATCTTCTCCCTGTGGTTTTTATTGATTTGGAATATAATCATGAATATTAGATTTAGTGGAATGTGAATATGGTGAATCTGTACCACGCATAATAATGTTTTTTTATTAATTTTAAAAATTAATCATATAAACTCTACATAATCTTGCCCGACTTTTTTCGCAGGGGGATGATATTTAAGGCCTCTCGAAGAAATTTATCATAATAAAATTCATCAATTTTGTATTAAATATTATTTTATACAAATATGTATTATGTTATTGTTAAAATTTAAATTTATATTTATATTTTTCATTAGCATTTAAGATTTAAAGTTTAATTTCAATAATAGAGACGTATTTTTAAAAGGTAATATTTAATATAAAATTCACAGACTCTTAATTCAGAAGGGTCTTAAATGGCACTCTTCCTTCTCGGCATGCCTGCCAATTTCTCGTGGGATAAACTGAGATTTTATTCCTATTCAATTTAATTTCTGTTTTTTTTAATTAATTTCTAAAAAGCTTGTGTACTACTATTTGGGACTTGCCTTAAGAATATGTAATCATAATTCAAGGGTTTTTTTAACAAAAGTTTGTGCTTCGTTTTGCAACAAAAATAAAATATAAACTCAAAATAAATGAAGATTAAAATATGGAAAGGATCGCATAGGAAATACTGAATTGAGAAAGTTGGCTCGGATTGCACAAAGTGGTGTAACAAGCTTTAGCTTCATATCATTATATATATATATATGTGTGTGTGTGTGTGTGTGTGTGTGTGTATGTATATGTATATATGTATGTATGTATGTATGTATATTAAAGTAAAGTTAAAAACTACAAAAAAAATGCTACGTGTTTATTTTTATATTTGTTATAATTTTGTACTTCAGAACATCTTTCTATAATTTTATATTTTAGAGTTAGGTTTGAGATAATTTATTATTTTTAAGATATATAAAATATATTATTCAAGTTTAAAGTCAGGTGCAAGATGAATTATTAATGTTTAGATATATATAAAAAATTATATTTCACCTGTTTGAAATTTAAATATGATCATATTTGAATTCAAATTAATATCTTTCTATTTAAAAATTTAGAAAAAATAACAATTGTTTAAAATTTTTGTTTAAAATTTTCCATGTGTGATCATGATTTCCAAAAATTTCCATCTATATTATTAAAGATTTGCTAAAAATTAAGTTTTCATATGATTGTGTGTGTTTATCTATTTGAATTTAAATTTAAATTAGTATACATCTATTTAAATATTTAGAAAAAAGAATTTGTATTTGAAAATTTAGATCTATTCTCATGATTTTAGAAAATTTGTATCATATAATAAAGTATAGATATCTATTTATTTAAAGTCAAGTTAATAGATACTTGTCTAAATATTTAATATATGATTATGGGTTTAAAAATAGTAAAGTGCATGTTTTTTATTTACGAAAATGTATATCATCAATGATTTATGTTTAAAAATATTAAGTTCAGTAGGTTGATATAGATATTTAGTATTGCATGGTTTAAAATTATTAATTTCGTTTATGATTTATAAAATATATATAATAGTAAGTGATAATCAATTTATTTTCAAATTCAAATTGATTTGGATCACTTTAAATATCTATAGTCACAAAAATTAAGAATTAATATCTATCATTATGATTTTAAAAAATCACCCTTTCATTTTCCTTCCCAATTCAACTTTATTTATTTATAAATTATTAGTTTACGCTAATATCACACTTCACAATTCAACATCTAATTCACTCTTATAATTGCATTCAGTTTATTATCCTCTCAACTATTATTCATACAATCCATGACTTTTACATTTGAAATTCACATAATTTGTATATTGTTGTTAAGGTGATTTATGGGTGGATATTTTCAATTAGAAATGCATTTGTAAACTCCGATGGTATTAAATTAGTCTTCTAGAATGTTGAAGCGCATCTTTATGACTTCTATATTTCTTTTTTAATAGTTAAATCCTATCAATTGTATCCAATTTTGTCCACTATGTAATATTTATTATGATGAAGTCGCATCCTGTGACAAGTTCTGTCTATTGTTTTAAGTTCAATTTTGTAAATATTACAAATATTATAGATAGAGAAAAACAAATGATAATTATTTAGCGCACACGTCATTAAACTTTTTAAATTTTTTATTCAAAAACCGTATTTAGCACGTTTAAGATAATACCTTGTCTTAAACTTTTTCTATCTATTTGAACACTTTTCCTACATTAAACTTTATTTTTTAACTTTATTTAATGAAGTATATATGTAGTATTATACTTTATTTATATGAAGCACATTAAGTTACACTTGCTATGTTGGAGATATGGGGATCAAGGGATATGATGGGAACAAGAAGGTTAAATAATTATGCATTATTTATAATTGCAAAAGTCTATTTATACTTTTTAATACTATTTTCATTAAAATATGCCTGCTCAGTACTTCTATATGAAAACACTGGCTGATCAAATATGATTTGGATTTTATATTTTATGAATATAATATGAATTTTATTCTATGTAATTTCGAACCGTAATATGATATACGTAACATGAATTTTTAGTTTGAATTTTATTCTATTAATTTCAAATTTCAAACCATAATATGATATTTAGTTAATGTGACTTTTAAATTTTAATTTTATTAACATCTAATATATGTTTATTTTTACACCAGCTTATTTATTTATTTTGCATTAATTTGAATTAATTTATTCTGAAATTAATTTACAATATGCCAATTACAAATAACTGAGGTTACTAATATTGCATTTCATACACTCGAATCTGATCGATGCCTACAACCTTGGCAAGTATTCTTCAATTTATTTTTTAATCTCATTGTTTTTGTTAGATAATGTTTAAAGTTTAATTCATATTTTTTCTTATTTACAGCAGGCTTACATATGCTATCTATGACTTTGAAGTGTGATATTTACATAATTTATACTATCAACACAATAAAAAAAGAGTGGCGCATTGTGTAATTGGAGGGGTCAAACTACCTTATGTCCAAAGGGACCCATGCCACTCTCCCTTAAAATCCTACCTTCTATTTGCTTTATATGAATAGGAAGCAACATAGATAGGTGTATATATAAAGTGAAAATTTAGAGATACATGTTCTTTCATTAATATGTTATACCCACACACACTATATTTATTTCCATGTTTTTTCACATACTCCTTACTATTTCATGCATAAAATAGTTCTAATTATTTCATCAAAATCAACAAAATGTAGTTAAATTATTAGTATTATTTAAAAAAGAATGAAACAAATTTTTAGTTTACTCTTATTTAAATACAACGTCTTTAAAAATAATTTTTCTTTGATATGATGCCTCTTGCTGTTCTTGTAAGATATTACCAAAGAATAAAATTAAAAAATCATTAATAGTCCATCTTTTATATAAAAGTGATTTATAAAAAATTATCAATTTATCCTGTAAGGTAATTTATATATAGGCGAAGATAGAGTATTTATTTGTTTTTGTTGTTGTTATTTCTTCACTTCTAAAATAGAATGACACTTAACTATACACGTTAGTCCCCTTTTCAAATGCACTTGGAAGAACTCATACCATTAATTAAAGTGAAAATACAAATAATATATTAAAAGATCATATTTTCAATATATTGTTATTTAGATTTGTATGACATATTGATAATTAGGGAAAGATATGCAAATTGTATAAAAAATCAATATATAAAGTATGCAATTTTTAAAAGACATCTTAATATAATTATATATAATTTATTTTCTAACAATTTTTTAGTTATAAAATTATTTTAAAAATTAAGTATTATACAAATGTCAAAAACCATAAATAATCATCATGCACGAATGATTGTCTAAAAAAATTAATACACACACATATATTAAAAAAAAATGACCCCTTGCTTTCTTTGTTGGTTCCGCTTTTGGGTGATTTGTATTTGAAGAATATGAGGTAGAAATTCATTTGAAAACTCAAATAGTATTGAATTAGTGTTTCACTGATATTATTTGTATTATCAACCTTGCAATGTGTGACTGATATATAATGGTTTGGATAATTCATCTTTAAAATATGATTGAGTTAACTTCATCAAACAATTTAAAAGGTTTTGAATTAATTTTTTCAAAACTATCTTATTTTTTATCGTATTGATATATGTAGTACATATTATGTAAGTAATCAAACTTCTGCAATTTTTTCAAAGTCATTTCTTGTGCATTTTGATGAGAGGTTGCAAAGAGGGAAGGTATTTTTGAATTTTTTTTCTTGAAAAGAACACTCAATAGATAATTTGTGAACTCTGAAATTATTTTGTATCAATCAT